GACTGGTATTGCAGAAGCCTAAAAGGCAGTAAAATCACGTCAAGTCCATAATCTGAGGAATTGAACCAGGAAGAAGCCGTGATACATCATCGCAAGCAAACAACGTTATCCACAGCATTGCCACCATCTGCTTCGGGTTTGAAGGCTCAAACTCTGACCCTATTATTCTCAGCAAGTTATTTTGATCTGAGATAGCATCCGTTCATCATGGTGTTTTTCAAATATAACTTTAACGTGCAGTTGTCAAGAATTTCGCTGAGAGAATATATGTTTCACGAAGAACATGTACGCACTTTGAATTGTTCAAGCACAAGACTCAGATATCACGCGTACTGCTATTATCGCGGCTGAGGACACATAAATCTTATGTGCAGCAGCTCCCGACTCGGAAAGATCGTTCCCGCTGTCGCACTGTCTGACGCATGTTACTCAGAAACTTCATAACATGAGCATGTTTTTAAGGATTTACACCCGTGCATAGTAAATGCAAGTATAATGGTAGAGGTCTCTCGATTAGATAGAACAATATTAGAAGTTACCGTGATTGATTAGTACTGATATCAAAATTTTGACATGCTAAGCCTGTTTTCGACGCATTAAGCTCGTGCATGTACGAGTGGTGGAGCAGCGTTAGCTGGAGTTTCATACATCTGATAGCTCACCTGTCCAGCATTGTTACGCTGTCCGCCTGCGTTCGATTTAGACCGTACGCGACTAAGATTTCTCTGGCGAGCAGTACCGGGTGTCCGTGTGTTACGACTTGCGCGTTCTGCACGCATGCGAGCGATGCGATCACGGTCACGTTTGGCTTCTGTCTTGGTGCATATGACTCCATTTTTCTTAGTGCCGGCACCAAGTAAAAGCATCAGTGAAACGACACTAAAGCCTGCGATCGCGTAGAGATAGATATACTCATTTTCCATCGTTGAGTCCTGTGCGTGCATGTACACATAACCGATATCCGCCAAGAAGAATAATGTGAAAAGGGATGTCGTTGAAGACGCGCGACCGCGACTTGTGAACATGCCGACACACGCGGACCATGGAGCAGAGCTTGTTCCGAGGCCCATGAAGAAATACATAAGCATTACCACAAGGCTAACGTACAGGCCGGAGCCATGCGATTCGCCAAGAGCATCAGACTTCTCGTTAAAGCCCATAATTCCAGCGCAAATAGCCAGGGGTATTAAAGTGCCAAACAGAATGGACTTATGGTCAAGCTTGTCGATAAAAAAGACGGCGATGAATGCACCTGTAAGTTGTAGTGCCATAGCATTCACAAAAAGTTGGTCCTGATCCGTGTACATGCTTGAACCCTTGTAGCTAATGAACGCATTCAGAAATCCCGTGGTAAGCGAGGACACAAGCATCAGAAAAATGCAAACGAGATATTTGAAGGCGCCTGCGCCTCCTTCATCTGCAGTTTCTTCATCTCGCATGATTTTGAGTTCTTCCTTCACGTCGGGCTTGCGACGCAGAATGACAAGACATGCTTCACATGCTTCCCAGCCTTTACGGTCCAGCACCCAATATGGACTCTCTGGGAATACGTTTACCACCGGTGTGACCAGTGCGATGATAATACAAGCAGCGAAAGCCTGCCAGATCCATCCTAACTGATTAACTGTAGCAAATATTCCGCCAAACAAACTGCCGGTGATGAAGCCAATACCCAGTAACAAGATAGCCTTGCCACGCATCTCTTTGGTCGAGATCTCGAAGATGTAGATGGCCAGCGTCGGCAGCAGAATACCACAGGAAACACCGAGCAGGCCAATACCGGGCATGAGCAGCATCGACCGAAGGTCGTCATTTGCACTTACAGCCACCATACCAAGCGTACTAAAAAGACCACCAGCCACAATTGTCAATCGACGGCCCAAAAAAAAATTGAGACAACCGGAGATAATCGTGCCCACGACACATGCGGCGTAAAGTAAGTATGTGGTAGTGCCATCGCCAACGTTACCACTCAAGACGCCATCGTAAGTAACTACATAACTGGCAAAGCTTGCAGACTGCTCAAGTGTTGAGAGCAGGTTATAAAGCCAGCCAACGCCGATTCCACCTAAAATTCCCATAAAGGCTGCAAGCGAAAACGCATACTGCGACGAAGCAGACATGACTTTGGAAAATCCTTCATTGTACATCATACGCGTTTGTATAACGTTCAAAAATGGTATACACGACATAACTACGAGTGGAATGATCATTCCTGTGCAAAATATGAAGTCGAAAAGAAACTGCAGCTGCTGAAACACTGCAACACTAGCAATCGACGAGTGTGGAAAACTCCACATGCGAAAGCATTCATTAATACCGTATAGTGCCGCCACGTATGCAAAGAAGAGTGATAAAGCATACTTGAACTTCCAATTCATAACAATCCAGGTTGCCATAAAATACACCGTGACAAGGGTTGCCATTGTTCCCAGGTAAAGCACTGCGCGCGTGACAGGGCTCATAGAGCGCATGCCCATGCCTATGATGTGAAATATGACGAGCAAAAAGACCGTAGCAACAGCACCACCGAACGAGTACGCTACGTACATAACATCCGATGTCTCGAGCGTTGCCACATAAAACATGAGCAAGAAATGGCGGCATTCTCGAACAATAACTGTGACCCGCGAAATCATGTTGGAATTGTGAAGCTGTTCTAAGTCGCCTTTCCACCAGCCAATCCAACCGCCTTTGTTAGTCGGATCATCGTCTTTGTAGTCTTCGCGAGCAAACATCCACATGCACCACTGGTGAATGTCAACTTTGGTTTTCCGGAAATCGAGACCATCACTGTTGAACATAAAGGGACCAACGACCCACAAAATTGAAATGAACCAAACGGAAAATGTCTGGACTCCGTAACCCTGTGCAGTATCGCAATAGTCGGATGCAAAGGTGTTGTCGTTAGCAGATGCATCAGTTTGACAAATGTAAAAATTACCAAAAGCCATATACACGAGACACAAACCAATCAGCTCCCAGGCCTTTCGGTAATGTGAACTGGCATAAGCTTTGTACAACAATACCAAAGTTTCTCGTGAAATCTTAAACCCACGACCGGTAGCCTGGTACTTGGCACCACCGTGTACAATATTGTTGTCAAAATAGTGCATGGTGGTTCCGACTTGAAAGACAAAGAAAGCAGGGCCAAGAGTGATGATCATGTCGATAAATCGAGTCATGCCGCGCACAAAACCACCTTCTCCGAAGTAAACACACATGAGGGGAAGCATGAGAAAGGTGCCGGCTTGGATGTAAAATTGCGTATTGAGCACTGACTTTAGGTCCTTAAATACACGTTCGTCAAAATTGTTTGCAACGTTACCAGATATTACTGCAGTCGAATTCATGTCAAACACAATTTGCTGCTGCACACCAGCCAATGCAAGATACACTTTGCAGTACATGTACACGAAAGTTGTTACGATCGTCATCCACGTAGCAAAATAGAAACCAGTGTGCGAGTAGTACATGGAGTTCAGACGGAAGAAGTCCATAAATTGGCCCATACGATGCGCCTCACGAGCCAAAGATGTCTCCCCAGCTCCGTTCGCCAACTTGCCCTCAAACATGGAAATTTGCGAGAGCGCCACATCTCGCCCCTTACCACACTGCATAAATTCGACGTGCGTCACAACGCCGCCGCGAAGAGTCGAGTTAAAACCAGCAAAAACATCTTCCGACAGGTTGATACCTTTGGAGGCTTTGGACACACCGCCGCGAGGAAGAGCGATAATTTTGTCAAATATATCGGGGTGTCCATAGTGCATACGCACATAAAGCGGGTCAGCTAGAACACGCTGCGATAGCGTTACGAACACGAGCTCTTGCCACGACTTGAATTTTGACAAGGATGACGCGTTGCCTGTGAAAATGTGTTCCCGCATCCCAATAATAGAAACTGGTTTCTTGGAGGGATGCAGGTCGGCAGTTACAAGCAGCTGCGGCATCTTCAGACACTCTTCAAAGTAGTGCTGCTGATTCATATCGATCGTCTGGAGGTACTCACCACGCGTAAATGGTAGCGCATTATTCTGGTTTTCTGGCTTTCCTTCCCCAAGAATCGGATCGCCCGGCAATTCATATCGATATACCTCAGCAATTTCGTTGCCTTCACTTTTAATCAACACCGTATCAAATTGTTTGCTTTCGCCAGTCATAATAGTATCAACGTAGGCAACCCGCAAGTTGGGGTACGTTTTGAGCAGGTAATCGATGTCGTCAGCCTGGGCCTTGCCTTCTGCGCGGTGCTTGCCATATACCTGACAAGCACAAATGTACGAGAACTTGAGACGCACCATGTCTTCAAGCTGAGCCTGCTTTTGTTCAGCCGTCTTGCCAGGGCTTGAACCAATTTCAAGCCAGTGGAGAATCTTGATCGCATCTTCGTACAGCATCATACCCTGCACAGTACGCGCAAGCGTTTGACCGCGATATGACGCCCACAGGCGAATCTCCAAGGGGTAATTAGCTTGCGCTTCCTCGGCACTGCTTACATCAATCCGCTCTAAAAAGTTTTCCCACTCTTCTGGGTGAATTGTGAGTAGATACTTAAGAATGGTTATATTCTTTCCTTTTTCTTCAACCTTTTGAAAGACTGGGTGATTTGCCAGCGGATCGTTGAGCTCTGATAGAGAGATAAGCACACTTTCACTGTAAAATGGTGTTACTACAGAAAAAGAGTGCATCTCCTTCACCGAAGTCAGCTGGGGAATGTCCATAAGAAGCGACTTCATAAAAAAACCAAGTCGACGCTGAGCTTCAGGTACACGCGGCATCGCATCAGCCTTCTCAAGAGACATGAGTAAATACGCGCGAGTTGCAGCACCCATGGCGGTGTCATTGTGAAACAAATTTACTAATCCACGAGCAGCAAAAACGTAGCCATTTGCGCTAGAGCAAAATTTGGAATTACTAAATTTCGCGGCAAGCTCTGGGCGGCTGGCAAAAACACGAATGGTATTAAGCAGATTCTCCATCTTCGTCACGAAATTTCGAACAACACCCATTGTATGCACACGGGATGTCGTCAAGTGCGAAGACTGTGCATCAGGATCAGGTAAATCCATTACAGCTTCCAAAAATTCCATCGAAACTGTGCGCAGCTGGACGAGACTCTTAGCGTCAAATGTGCTCATGAAGCTGCCACTCGAAGCAATTGTCTCCATTTGACGTAATGCGTCTAGAATGTCGGCATCGTCGCTGCCCAACAAAGCTTCCATGACGTACATACTCGCCGTAAAAAAACTACGGACAGCCGATAAGCAGTCTTTCTGCACCATGTAAACTTGGAGTTGCGAGTCACCCTTGCCCTCTTTAGCCAATTTGACCGTATAATCAAGAGCTTCTACGAGCTTACCAGCCGACAGAAAAACGGGCTCAAATACGTCACCCGAGCCTTGGATGTCGTATTGAAGTATCGCAGCCTCTTTGTCGTCTACCAAATCTCCCTCGCGAAATGAGTTGACAATTTCATTCCAAACGACAACGAACCGTAACATCATTTGTGATTGATATGCGGCAGCAGTACCGTCCGCAGCCGCATCGTTCGAACGGGCAAGGTTAGTCACCACCTTTTGATCAAATAGTTGGGGTGCAACACGAAATGCCTTTGATATCTCCTTAATTCCATGAATCTCTCCTGTCTTCATCAATAGACCCTGAATGCCTCCTAATGAGGCTTGGAAGACAGTAAAGTAAATTTGCGTATCGTAATTGAAAATGAAAATTACTGGTAACCACAACGCGGCAATGACACCAAAATTGTGAAAAGATACCACGTTGCTACCGTATTCGAGATCCATCTCATAAATTGCTAGCGATGGGAGAACCAGTGGCCGTACGAGAATGAAGTATGAAACGAAAGCTTTCAGTGCCCACAAAATGAGCCAAAAGGTGATATACTTGACTTGGTAGCTGAGCGGAGGTGCCATATTGCGGCCAACATAGCACGATTCTCCTTCACGGATAAATTTGGCCGCAAACGATCGAGAAACCATGGAAGGGGCAAATGCCTGCACCATGATGACTATGAGTCCAGGCAGAATAAAAGCAGCGGACGCAGGTGCAGCTTTGTCGAGCAACTCCGTATTTTCGTCTGTAATTAAAGGTGTATAGATCATCAGACCAAAAATTCCAGCGAACGCACCATTCCAAAGCATTCGTACTACGAGAGCACCACCATAGTTAAATGATCTCGAAGACGTCTCGGACGACTCACTCGCCGTGAGCAAATGCCATCCATGGCACGCTTCGAGAACAGTCTTACAAAAACCCATTGTAGAAAGAGAGAACACAATCCCGACGTACGTGAGCTTGACGTTCTGCTTTTGATAAGGCTCAACGACTTCACCCATGGAGTCAAATTGAGCAAACCATTGCTGGCCACCACTAGGCGATATGGCCGATATAAAACCGATGGCCATGAGAACCATAAGAAACATCATATTAAACTGGAAAATGCGGTAGTAATTGAGCACAAGCGTAAAGATGCTTCGATGTTCGTAGTACGTCTTGGTGTGTTTTTTTGTCAGTTCTTCGCCGATTTGAGTAACGTCAATGTTTAAACAATACTTTTTCCAGAAGTACTCGTTTATGTCGTCGTAGTTTCGCACTTGGGTGTGCTCAAGATTTTTGCCCAATTTATTTTTTCGTTGCATATTCGACGCCTCCTTCCAGATAGGGCGTACCACTTGACGCAAGTACCATCCCTCTGACACCTTTTGCTCACCTAGAAAATCCTGGTTTAGCATGTTCATCGATTGGTGGTATAGATAGCAAAGGCACTCCGGCATGTGTCTCAAGTTGCCTGCTTCTCCCCACAGCAAAAGGAACAGCATAATGTCCATGTGCAATGGATTCTTTAGCTCTCCTTGAGGCTGGCCGATGTACGTGACACTGGGTACGGCAAGGAATTGACACCACTCGGTGTAGTTACTCATGAGTTTCTTATGAAGCGTCACGACGTGATGTCCAGGAGGCTCCTGAGGCTTCGCGCGTGCCTTTGAGTTGGCCAGCAAAAGCAACACGTGCTCACGCTGGTTATCCACGCTGCCCGACTGAAAGCCAAACTTATTGTAAAGCACCTCGCAGCAAAAATCAACAGAAACCTCATCAGCAAAGTCTCCCTGAAGGCCACCGCCACGCATTTCATTCCCTCCCTGGCTTGAAGGGGGCACAACGTCCATCATGCTCAAGCGATCTCCGAACGTGCCACGTCCGTCGCCATAGTTGCTGCGGTTGTTTGATGTATTGCGCTTGCGATCGGCATCCAGCTGGAAGTAGTTGGAGCCAGCACGACGTCGGTCTATCTTACCACCGGGCGTTGTGGCCATCGTTCTACTTGTACCTTAACCAGTATTTGAAGTGCGGGCACGGAGAGTGATTATCGTTGACTCACACGCTTCCGCACTCAAATTGCTCGAGGTCTGTTTGGTTGTGAGAACTAGTGCGGGGAGAGACGTAAATGCCTTTTTCGTACTCTGGCTTGCAGAAGCTCGACCAATCAGAAGAGACCGCAAACAATCAAACAACCCTAGTCACAGAGCCAGCTTATACTAAACCTCAATATTCGGAGATTAAACGTCTAGATCACTCATAGCTTTCTGCAGGCCTTTCAAAATGCTCAAGTGGCACAAGATGAAGCGAGCTTTTCAATTGCAACGTTAAATTTTTCAATACAAATAATGAGTTCAGGGTCATTCATGAGCGACACAACAATTGGGCGTTCGACGCTCTGCGCGGTACTTGTCGTGATATTGACGTAATGCCGTTGTGTTGTAATACATATGACAGGTGCAAAGCTCCATCATACGCGATTGGACCGTCCGAATCCCCAGGAACTGCTCTGTCTACTGTATTACAGTCGTCTGACTCTTTTTGCCTGGCGATCTTACGACGTCAGTTCGAAATTCAGATTTACAAATTATGTAAAGATATCTACGGGTCTTAGTCCTCTCATAAATCTTGCGTCAAATCCTGTTATTTACGCTAAATATTTATTCTCTTGGATAAAACATTATACCTGGCTATTTTAACTAAATTGTCTTAAGGATTATTGACATGTTCGGAAATCTTCTGTGAGAGCGGATATTTTAGGCAGAAGGTGAATATCGCATTCAAAAGTGAAGAGAAGCGTAAATGTATCCACTCTGTCGGGATGATGGACGGGATAAGTGCTGCGCCAGTTCTTGAGCTAGTTCACTTGGAATAACAGCACGTCTCGATGCTGTCTTGGTAACATTGGGACAGGCCTTGCGAACCTGTGTGCGAAAAGCCGTTTGCGCTATCCAATTTACATGACTCCATCTGTAGAGGAGTTTCGCTAAATATAGGTTATCCTCTGGGTTCACACGGTCTTAGTGGATTATGACGACGGTGATACTTTCAAATTTCAAAATTTATTGCTGAAAGGGGTGTCGAAAGAGACTTGAGGACGTAGAAGATGGAATGAGTGATCGATCCGAAAGGTGGCAAGTTGGTACTTCGCGATAGTGGACACCCTAGAAATAAAGGTAAAGTCTTCACAACCGCATGGAGATAAAGTCGAATCCCAATTTGAGGTCTTCATAGCCGCGTAGATATCAAGTCAATTATTGCAAAGCGTTCACGCTACATTTAACAAGTCTACACACTCATGCGACTAAAGAACTCAGTTAATTTCACTCACTCCATATGAAGTCTGAAGTGCGGTGAGTGGTAAAGCTGGTCATCACAGATACATATTTCACAATTGCATGAAGCAAAAAATGATTCGATCTTGCTTACCTCAGTTAGCAAAAGTGCAAAGGTAATTGCAAAGTGAATAATAGACTTGAGGATCACTACGACTGACTTAAGGAAGTCAACAACAGTGACAAGTAATTTTATAGCGAATAAGTTCAAAAGCTCTAAAATGATGTGACGAAATTTTCTATGCTTAAGGAATTACGCTGATACTAAGATCGGTGTGATTTCAAAGTGTGTGAATGCGTTGGAACCTTAAGGATGCGCTGTAGATGTAAGCGTACATGCTAAGGCGCTGTCAAGAACCACCTATGAATCGGAGACACGGCGCGTTGTGTATTGACTTGTTACAATCATCCTGTTATGTAAAAAAAAAACGCACCACCAATAATGTCGAGCAGTTCAAATGTAAATTAACACCAACGTCGGCGTTTTATTTTATTTAAAAACTGCAAAAGTCTATTGGAATGGTGGCAACAAGTTTCGGTTGTGTAATTCTCCCGAGTGGTTTGTGGGTTCTTTCTACATCTGAACTTCAGGACGGACTGTAGTTTGTCCAGATAAATCTCACAAGAACTACTTTCGAGATTCCTCGAATTCGATTTAAATCGTGTACTCCAGTTCTCCGGGTGATTTGACATTACGACGCAAGAATTATCGGGAATTTCTATCGGTGCGTCAGCAGAAAGAGCTGAAGCGCTGCCGACGTTGGAGTTCGAACATAGATCTATCGAAGCTGATTCGGCTGTATTCACATCCGAGTAAAACTTTGAGACGCAGTCGCGTTTTCGAAGTGTCATATTGAAGTTGATAATCGATGGACAAGCTTTTAGACAGTTGACTTCGTTGGTGTCGCTAGATTTAAGCGCCAATTGTCGTTTTGCGTCTTGAAATTTAAAGAGAAGATGTCGAAGCTGAGCGGTTGTTGGGTGCTCTCTTTTTAGATATTCCTATCTTGTGTGAAGAGAGAACAGGGGCCTGTGTTCATCGAATAGACATCCTGATAATTATCAGCTTGGCACTGTGCCACTCAAAAGACTCCAGCTTCCCAATAATCGTTACCCTTCGTATCCGATATCAAGCTAGTTGGATTTTGTGAACACCTGGTCGGCCG